TTCCCACTAACTGTAATAATCCTTGTACTAATGACAGGAAAACTGTGGAGAAATAAAAGGACGGGATAGTGAAGGAAAAGGAAACGGTAGAGGATATAGTAGGGAAAAAAACCGGCAAAAGGACTTACTTTTTTGCCGTTTTATTGCGAGGGGCCCCTTCTTTTTAAACCTGTCCCCCTAAGTTACTGAACCCCCTTTCACATCTCTATCCCCCAAAAATAAATGTCGCCCCTTTTTAAAGCTGTCCTGGAGCAAAAATTTCTCCTAAAAAGTGAACTTCGTATATGGAATTCTTTCCATTATATCCAACTCTATGGGCTCAACATACATGTACATGTATAATGAATGCACCACTCAGCTATCTCTCACACAAAAGCGTCAAAGTAGGCCTAATTTCCCCGATCTCCCAGCATACCCAGTCTCATCTGCATTTCTTCATATGCCTAAGCCACCGCCTGCGCCAAATGCGGGACCATAGCGTACGTATGTCCACAACTGGAAAAAATCAGCACGCCGGATAAATGAGACCATTAGTACACTGGGCCTAGGGCCCCTATTCTCGCGGTCGGACATCTGGGAACTGTACATTATTGAATAGGCCTAGCAAGAAGGGAAAATTTGCCCCTTTGGCTTTGCCATATGTTAAAAGTCCATAGGCCTAGTTGTAACAAATACTGCATGGGTGATTTTAACGTGGAGGAAGGAATAGAAATTGCCCCTTTTTACTTCCCACACTGCCTTTCTACCATATTGTGCAAAATCACCCATGCAGTGTTTGCGATTCCTACCTCCATGCTGACGCCGACCGCGAGAATTTAGTTTTTCTGTCGTCAGACAGCAGATATATAACAGCTCCGTTCTGGGTCCAATTTTTCCTTAATTATTACTCACCTTACAACTTACTTCTAAATAGGTCTATAGGTTGCATTTATGATTTTTCCACCAACTTGACGTTTTTGAACACGACGGACGAACAACTACAGCGTGCAGTATTCATGGTATTAAGCGTTTGGTCATGCGCACCTGTCGAAATGTCAACCTTCCTCCCGCGTACTGTGGTGTACGTAGTGGTTATACTTACTTAGGTCATGTATGTGTAGATTGCAACGTGTATCTCTTGGGAGCAACGTTGAAATCTCAAGCCTAGACGTTTCATTAGATCATGCGATATGAACTTGTGCCGCGTCCAAGGCCGCTGATACGAGGTCATATGCCCTAATCCGAAAGTCAAAGCTGCGTCCGGAAATACGGTGTGCTGTGCGGAAATAAGGTGCGAGCGCCCACGAGAGACACCGGCCGAAGCCACTGCCAAATCGATAGAGTTGTGTGTAAGCCGTAGCCAAGAACATGTAAGCGCAGCCACTGCCTACATCGATATATCTAGGGTAGTGCGGCATACAAGAAACACAAGATAAAGTGTGCCACCATTTTACCAAACTAACTCCGCCCGGCCTGTCTGACCATGGAGGTAGAATGGTCTCAGTGACGTCAATTTAAGAACCAAGAACTTTTGCAGGGATACTTGCAAAAGACCACATTTTCTGAAAGATGGCACTCAGTGAGTTTGGTCACAGTTAAATCATTGATGAAGAAGGACTATAAGTATCATGGTATCGCCACTGATGTTTCCGCGTTACTATGACCATGGGCGTGATTCCCGGGGGGATAGTGGGTAAATCCCCCCCCCCTTGAGGTGGGGGATAGGCTATTAAATCATGGTTAAATCATCCGTCACCTTTTTGGTTTTTGAAGAAATTTTTTCAGACCTTTTAAAATACCTTAAATATCACTCAAATAAGGGAAAGTCAATTTTAAAAAGCCATAAATATGCCATTCTGAATACAAATCAGATGTACATCAGTATCATGACCATTGAACTCTACAGTCTTATGGTCTCAACCACCCCCCCTGCGCTTTCCCATTCCCATCGGCATGCGCTAATTTCCAGTGCAAATAAACTTCACTATGACACTAGTAAACTCTCAACACATTTCATTTCAACAAAACATTTTTGCAGAAATATAGAATCCATAATTACGACATAAATGCTGGTTTCACATTCAATATTGATACAAAAGAGAAATTTTCTGAAATATAAAATTCACTGCTCGGAGAAACGAAGATAATAGTTCCAAGATGGTCATCTTGGAAACACAGAAGTCAACGTTACTGCATGGAGGTAGAATCCATGGTTACTGTAACTCTGAAATAGTGAATTTCGTGATAATTGCCCAAAAATGCGCATTTGAAAAATGACATGTGCACATAAATTGTGTGAAAACTTATGGATTTATTCAGAATTACACGATAGTGAGTGGGTTTTAGTGTCGAGATTTACGATTTCCCATCAGTTAACTAGTGAATATGGACTTCGACCCAGCCCCATTATCAGCTTCATGGGATTTGGAGGGGGGACATAGTACCAGCTGGGGTGTTTATCACAAGATAATTTTGATACATCGACGTTCATATGGCTTTTGAAGCCAGATAGGGGCAGCCCCTCCGCCCCACCCTGACACTGCCTAAATCAAATAATTTCAAGATGTGTTACAATTGAATACTGCATTTCTTAGATTTGTTTTTGTTGAAATCTGCGTGTTCTGAATAATTCGAAAACAGTTCTCTGAATTTCGGTTTCCAAAGACATGTTTCAGAGATATAAGTATAAATTCTGCATTTCCAGGATTATGATGGTTCTGGTTATCTGTGGATTCTTTTTGCAGATTTGAGAAATGTTATTTCTGAAGTTTGTATTTCAGAGATACATGAATACAGAATTACATTGTTCAGTAAAGTGACGCTATTTCGAAACCTTTGTTTCTGTTTCAAGTTATTGATAAATTCTGTATTTCAGTGAAACTTGGTTGAAATCTGTGTGAGGGGCCTTCCATAAAGTACGTACATACGAATGGGGGGAGTTGGTACTGTTACCATGCATACAAAGGGGTTCAACCAAGTGCGTGCCGTACGCAAACCGAAAATTTGCCTTTGATGAATCATCGTATCAATACACTTTTTCATACAAATAACTCCCAGAAACAGCTTTTGAGCGTCAAAATTCAGGCACAATATTCTCTGTCCACTGCACCATTAATCCCCCTGTACCAACAGCCATTAGTAGTAAAACGCAACATTACTCATGACACAAAGACCAGCAGTGTCTTCTGGAATTGTAGAATGCGTACGCCATACGTGGGGGGTCTGAAAAGTAGGGCTTTTTGTGCATACATGTACTTTATGGACGGCCCCATATACGCCATATGAGAGTTATGTTGTTTCCATGATAAATTTTTTGCATTAACGCCATAACATGGATGGTCCATGATTACAAGCACTTCAGTAGTTCTGGATGTTTCTCATAATCAATTTCTTTGACATTATTAATTGGTCACACGGGCAGTATTAAAAGTAAACAAATCAACACCGCCGCCGAGAAACAACTTGGCTAATTCTTGGTAACGACCGCTAAATACACCCAATTTTGTTTATAAATCTGGTTAAATTTTGTGCTGTATCGCACAGAATCTTATAGAACCTTACACAATATTCACATTCATTGCAAGTCCAGTTCCGATTTATCATCCAAAAATTGTTTGAAATACCGGAAAATCATATTGGTACTGGCCTCAGAAACCTCGATAAAGCGCATCTACTTCTAAAACAATTAAATGGAGAAACCAAACATAAGTGGGTAGGAGAGGATCCTGACTCGGAAACAATTCCCATCCCTGACAATACCACTCACAACCATTTCAAATATCAACAAAAATGCTCTTCAAGCTGCAAATAAGTCTGTGTGCTGTTTTAATTAATCAACTGCATTACATTTTTTACATACATCTTAATGTCTATAATACTCCAATTAAGTAGACGTGCAGGAGAACATTTAATGTCTTGAAATACTAGAACAGTTTTGCACAAAAACCATCAAGATCTGGGTGTTAGTAACCACTTTTATCAAATTCAATAGTGAATTGGTGACACTTCAATATTAAATTGTATTCTTTCTTTATTAATTGCCTTTTAATTGCCTTGTTCTTTAAGAATTATGACGATTTGACATAGGTAAGCTGAAGGTCAACATTGCACCATACAAGTGAAGCAGTAACATGGAGAGTGTGAGACGTTGGCAAAAATGAAACAAAACTGTCACAAATTTAGCACAATAAACAATGTTTCAACCAAAGTTTGCTCTTCCATTTACGATATCTCTCAATAGTTTTATGTTTCAGGGGAAGAAAAATTTTCTAGATTCTCCTGAAGTATCCAAGATGGTGAACTTACCTGAAAGGCAGAGACTTTGATACAAACTCAGCTCATTTAAATAAAATGGAAGGATTATCTCAACACATCTAACAAATGACTTCAAGCCATCAAATATTGACAGTGGAAATAATGAAAAAATCAGTATTTTTCATATAGTAACATGGAGTACTTTCATATAATAACAACACACTTTCAGTTTGCAACAACAAAATCAGTAACATCACTCATTCTTTAAAAATTATTATACATTTGTGCTCAATACAGACTGAAATAAAAACTACCTTGTGGTGCAGTTACTTATCTGGCATTCAACGTATCTTTGGAATTGAGACATGTTGGCTATTTGGATGTTTTTGCAGTGCTTGTTTTGTATTTGTGATATTTTGGGTTCAAGTTCTGTCTTCTTAGCCTTTACCTAGTTCAACCGAAAATTGAAACATTCATGGACTCGAACTGTTGATTGCAAAAGTCTACCATCAACGATAGGAACATTATGGTCTAAACATGGAACAATGAACAAAAGACTAGATTCTAGTCACTGTACAGTCTGCTGGTGGTATCATGCATAAGTACATACAGATAGGGGTTCTTTAGAAATTACTCGGGAGTCTCTAAAATACAAGTGGGCCTAAATATCAATATCAATATCGAATACCACAAGTAACAGAAAGTTATCACCAACTTTTCCACCAAATACATTTTGAGCATGAATTGAGTATGATGTTTATTATTACATGTACATTTCCACAGGTTTGTGCCAAAACACCAGCCAAACATTTCTCTGTACAAATACATGAGGGATGCAGATTGAGATGTACAAGAGACATCTTCTATTGGAAATGATTCTGATGTAATTGCATTAGTAAATAATTCAATAGTATGCATGCTAAAGGACGCATATGAATTCTGTACATTCAGAAATGAACAAACCAATAAAGTGGATCTGCAACAAAAGAATGACATGAATTATTTTTCACCATGCTGTTTGAAGAGTTCTAAGTCTTTTTTGCGACCTTCAAAGATTTCACAAATCTGATCAAAACCATCTTAGACATCATGAGCACACACTGACAATCCTTATTGTTCACCAAACTAGGAACATGTACAGTATTTTATAAGAGGTTTTATCCACTGGGTGACTTGTCTACTTTGGGCTTTTAAAGGTCTTACAAAACTTGGGATTTGTAAGATGCTAACCACGAAAACCAGTATTCATATGTTACATAAGGAAATAGACTTCATTTGCATATGGAACACATGCAACTACAAACTTCAAATATACATGCATATGCAAGATATGGAAATGCAAACTTTAATTTTCATATGCAACATATGCAAATAAAGTTTATCAGTATGGACCACATGCAAGTATGTCTTCATCATGTGCATTTGCAGTATATGCAAATATGGATTACATTATATGCACATAGATGAAGGCAGATAAATGTGCACGTTACTACTGATGCAAACCTGCACCTTCAAATTGTATGAAGTCTATTAATGGTGATGCTCCCTCCCCAGCATGTACAAAAATTGAGTTGATTGGGGGGTCAGAAAAATCTATTTTATAAAAAATCTTCAGGAGTTGTCCGTTCTTAACCCAAACTCTTAACATCAATGTTGCTGTCAGGAATCTGCACAAAGTGCCACACAGTTTATCATGAGATTCCTCACATTATGAATAATCCCCTTAACTTAAATAGTTGCTTCCTGGGATGACATCAATCCCTTGAGTTAGGTAGTTCATTCCATTCACATAAAGGGCATTTACTCCTCCAAATTACAAACTAAATTACATGGACAAAAGTGTCCTTGTACCCTACTTTCAGGTAATGGTCTTATCCACAGTCCATTCCTTACCAGTTACAAGCAGCGATTCCTCTCAAAAAGGGATCATTCAACCAGGAAGCATTTATGTACATCTACATTACATATATACATATATACAAGGAATTCAACAATGCTATGCTTCATAATGAGGCTTCATGTACAGTAATATACAATTGGCAAGTTTTCCATTTGGGCTGCAAGAATTCCCTTAAGTTTTTACCATTCAATGTGCATCCCTCCCAAACATCTGAAGCCTCCTGACACTGTGAAATCCAACTGTAGGTTGAATCACTACAGGGTCACATCTTTGTCACCTCACAGTATTAATTCACAGTGTAACCAACAGTGTGTCTCAGTTGAATTTGAATTGCAGACACACACATACGACACAGCACAAAACTCCCATGTTCTTATGCCCATTCCCAACAGACGTTCAATTGAGTCCTATATTGTCTTTTCTCACACGACCATGCTCAAGCCTCTTGAATCATTCTGGTACAATCACAGATGGATTGGAACTACTGACTCGCTGAAATTGTGCCATCACATCCCAGGGATGTCTGTCGGTTTAAAGAGCAGCCTTTCTTTCATATGTAGTCACAGCAACTGGGTTTGTTCCGTAGTCACTCAGACATAACTTTACCCATTAACGTTCAGACTGCAGTCAATTAATTTACACAAATTTTACTCCCATGAATGGTCACACCATGCTGAAGTTTATCCTTGGATACTTGCAAGTTGGGTTACAATGTTGCACATGAATGAAGTGCCATATTCGTCTGGATTCGAACCAGGGCACATGCCAGCCATTCTCGGCAATGTTGTTCTTCTGCCATTCTGCACTTTAGGCAAGACCAAATCCCCAAGCTTCCAGATCAGCAATGATGAAGTCTTCATCGTGAGCTAGACATGGATTAGAGAACGTCTTACAGCTTCTACTCCTGCCTCGGTAAAGATCCCCATCCAACCACAGACCAAAGGCACCACTGTCAACAGATACAAAGATATTACATCTACCAATCAACACTGCTTGAAGTTTTTATGAAGTATATGTAAAATCAAACCAAATGTCACTGTCCGCTTTACAAAGAGTAATGCAGGACTTGAAATCAAGGGTCGTGTACAGAAATGAAAGAGGGCAACAACTAGATTGGTGTTGCTCACAAAACACATGGATGGTGTGAAGTATTGGCAGTGGTAATTTTGATCTGAAAAAAAAAAAGTAAATCATCTTTACATAGGGGTCAGGTACACGTACAGATGTCCTCCCAAGCTTTCTCTCTGCCACCAGTGAGCACACCGGTGCACACAGGCCCAGAGCTGTATACGGAGAGTAATTTCAACTTCAAAGTTTGGAACCAAAATGGCTGTTCATTATTTGCACAGTACAGCATGCAGCTGTTGCATGATAACTGTCAATGTGCACTGACATACAATCCGCCATTTTGGTTCCAACAACTGAGACATCCATGTCGCAACTCTCTACAAACACCTGTACAGAGGCCGTATAGGGCATTATAAGGAACAGAATGTTGCAGTGATAGAAGATTATCACTTACTCTCCGCCTCCCAGAGTTAGACTGTTGTAGTTCCCCTTGATGAAGAAGTTGTTTTCACCTGTCCACCTGTACACGTTGAGATCCCAGTCGATGAAGTTAAAGAGAAAGGTTTCGCCAGTACCATAGTAATGCTCGCTGACTCTCACAGCGCAGGGAGAGAGTGCACCAAATATCTGACGAGGTATATGAAAATGTGGTGTGAACATTATTGTTGAAGCTTGGTTATTTTTAGCAAAGATTTTAGACTGGCTCTACAACCTGTCAGCGAGAAAATGACTTCAAATGACTTAAAATGATTAAGGAACTTGAAGACAGATGCTTTTGAGATAATTTGAGGGTGCTGGATCTGAATTCAAATCTGGATGTCTCCTAGAGCTTAACATTAATATCCATTTTTATTGTAGACACTCTTAAGGAAGTACTGCATCACTTCTTTGACATGCTTTGCAATGTAAGTCAGAGGAGTATTATGCAAATATATGGCAACTAAAGTCCTAGGCACCATTGCTTAATAGGCCCTACTCTAATCACAATATTATCACAGTCCTGTGGAACCTCAAAGCTTATTCTGATCTGTGCTTTACAGTGCAATAAAGGAACTAATTTGAAGTTTTCTCCAAACTAGTTATTGAGAGAAAATTATGCTCAAACTTAAAACCTGTCTTACATTTGTGTATGTATGTTTCCTGGTGCTATTTTGAGAGCCTAAATATGTGTTTTTGATTTTGTTCTTAAGCTTTGCTGCGCCCACTGAATAACCCAGCCTAAGTCTTTTGAAGAGAAAAGCTTCCATTTGTCTTTGAAGGTAAACATTATTTGAATACCAATCTTGTAAAGATAGTATTTTCTGGCAAATGGGAAATCTTTTTCACAGTAAAATTTTCCGCCAAAATGGTTTCAATTTTTCACAGCCATTCATAATACATGTATCAGTCACACCACTCTCCACTCACTTCCAACTTGTGTCAGCCATTAAAAAATTGGGTCCACCATGTTTATGATTTCCTCTGCAGAAATTCATGTACAACAGGTGGTGACAATAATAGCGCTCTTGTTATTGTGGGCCTAAAGTTGATTTTCCTTCGTGGACAAGAGCTAGTTTTCATTTCAGAGTTCAATTTTCTGGTGAAAGAGGAACCTCAAACCGGGGAATCAAATTGTGTTCAGCATGGCACATGCAATATCCATCTACAATGAATAGATTAGGTTGCCTAAAAATTAGAAGACAAACATGGAACCAGATTTTATTCAGAGATCAGAGATTTTAGTCTTTTACTTTTGCAAAGCAGCATTTTTTTGCGTGCCATCTGTGTGCAGGTGTGGGACATCTGCAGCAATGACTTCCGTTTCTGGTTGTGAGATTACTGCGGAAAGATTTCTATTCTTGTTTTTACCATTCCACTGGAGTCCCTGATGACCATGAGCACTGGGCTATCAATGCCACTCATACAACGATACAGGTTGCGTAAGCTGTAGCCGTGTTCTGCTGTACTATAGATGTTCTTCCAGCTATAACCCTCTGTTCTTGCAGGAAGCTGTTTAGTGAGCTGTAGGGGGAGGGATATTGACAAGGAAGGTTGAAAAGGAGGGTTTACCCTAGAGCTTCAAAATGAAAGCTGTAAGTACTTGAATGTCATAGGTGTCCCCAACATTTAGTGTGGAGATTAAGCTTTCAATAAGGTTTGAAATGCTTTCAACTGATAACCATCCCCTATCAAGAATGTGCTCTAATATGGTGCAAGATTTCAGGTTTCACATGGTGACAAAATTAAGTCAGCACCATGGAATGATGATGCTGGCTGTTCTAAGACCTTTTTGGTAGGACTCCAAGTACATAGTATCTTATTAATTGCTCCTGCCTGCAAAATATTTGAGTCTGTTAATGGCAATTTTACGCTTCCATGTAGTTTTCCATACCTTCCTGACATGTTCAGGTGCTAAAAGAATACTGGTTGCTCCTTCTAGTTCAGGTAGCGGCAGGTTCATCTCGCATTCTAAGATGGTCATCCGCCGACGATTGGCTTCCTCTTTGGTGATAATCTGATGGGAGAGGGAAAAACAAAGAATTTAGAAGTGGGAAAAATTGAAGCAGGGTATGAACTAGAAACCACTGGAATGAGCGTCAAGTACTCTAGTGACTTATGTATAAGCCACAGAATATCATTTGTATAAAAAGCTGGCCACCTTTTGAACCACTAGATGACCATTTGAACTACTAGATGACCATTTTGGCCACTATTTTACCAAGTGCTCTACTTCAACCATCTGGCTGGGATGATCTTTTTTAGTGTCAGTATTACCTTCTAGCTTTCATAAGCCTAATGGGCTTTCCTTCTGAATAGGTGTATTTTCCGGGTCAATGTAGTTATTTGTTAACAGATGTAACTTATTTGCAAATATACATGTACATACACAAATCTACAAGCACAAATATCTTACCTCTTGTCAAATTAGATTTTTGCCACAGAGTTATACGTACCCTCTGCTTCATGTCCAGTAATGAAGTACTGGACATTTTGAAGCAATGGGTTAAAAAATAATACTGAAATTCACATCACTTTGATGTGATATTGAGTTCGAAAGTCTCTTCAATTACTTTATCTTTCCTGTCACAAATGAACATATTTTTTCACATGTTTCTGATTAAAGGACATGACAGTCAATCAGGAAAATCCTGAATCCTACTGATGAAAATAAAGATGAAAATAACAATTGAAAAGAAGCAACCAAAAGAAGAACGAAAAGCAAACCCTGATCATACCATATTCTTGTAAGAAATTAAGGATGGATCTGGTGGATGTCGCCACCATTTCTGAAACTCCTCCGAGCACACATACACTTCCTCTTCAAGTCTCTTCATCTTATTTCCCTTCACAGAAATACACCCCATGAGGAAGACAGTTTGCAAGTAGCGCCCAAACTCAATCAAGTCTGGAATTCCACAGTTAACTACAGATTAATCCAAGGGTACTTTGTGAAGTCTGGATGAAATCCAAATGAAAATGTCACCAACTCTTTCAAACATCTCTGGAACAAACAGCTTACAAGACGATTGTATCCACAACGTCCACAGCCAAAGATTTTGGTCGAATATTCCTGACAGAAAGTTGAAATCCTGTCTTCAACCAAGTGGAGTGGAGTGAGTATGCACAATTGTAGAGACAACTAGAATGAAACTACCAATACCACATCCTTTTTAGAACTGAATCCAACTGAACAAAATTGGTCTCCGACAGAACTAAAGAAATGTGCATCACTGAAGATCCAGTGCCTTTTCAATTACTTGTCATCCAGGCAGAGAATAGAAAGTAAAATATATGGGGAAAAACTCTGTCAATTTGCTGCAAACAGATCAAGTCCTCGCAGAAAAATGAAACTAACAAAATGAAACTAACACAAAAGAATGAAACCGGAAGTCCTCTGTATTAAATACTGCCCTAAACTACCCTGGACTTTAAACCCAGTCTGTGATTGGTTGGATCTATTGATTCTTATACATATCACAGTTTTCCAGTTCATTGATAAATTTCCGGAATTCTACATGCTGTATGTGGTCACAGATGTGTGTCATTCATATTAAGAATGTTTCGGTATGTAATGAGAAATTTTGGAATTGTTGCTTTAAAGAGAAACTTCCAGTGATTGCTGCTGCTCTCTGGATGAATAGTCAGAAAGTCCTTGTACTTTCTGGTGATCGACACTGTTGACAGCATTTCTAGTTGAAAAGCATTTACATATTTTTGGTTTGGGTGATTTGATGGGAGACAAAATTCCTGATGATGAATGAATTAACCTAAAAATATACAAAGACTAAGCTCTTCAGAGCATGCAAGTAAAAATTATTTGATTTAATTACTTTATGAAACTCACTTTTCATTTAACAATGACAGACCCTGGAATAGAAATTATGAATGAATTTTTCTTTTCAAAAAAGAAAAGACACAAACAACACAGTGGAAGACGTCTGACCTCCCAATCCTTTCCGATGGGCTCCTCAAAGAAATCCTCAATGACCTCCAGGCTGGACTCTAGCTCCTCATCAACAGCAACAAAACCAACATCATCCTGGTTACCCTCCTTCCCGTAGACATCTGGAGACCATTGCAGAAAGAATGCATACAGGTTGTCTGCCCTGGGATGGAGGAAACAAGGAAGAGCAAGTGGGTCACCGAGTATGGAAAAAGACACCTCTGTTGTTTTTTTATAGAAGCCATTACATGGTATACAGGAATGAAGAGTGGACAAGTTTGTGTTCTTGGAATGTGCCATTAAGCATGTCCATGTACAGTATGTACATGGAGGAAACCTACCGTAACATGGACAGTGACTCACAAAAAATGAGTGCCTATTAAAGGTAGTGTACACCATTGGTAAAATCCCCCAAATCAGACTACCGTATAATCCTGAAATATCTTACTAGAAAGAAAGTACAAAACAGCCTCAATCAGTCTGTCAAATCTTTCTGCCAGGAATGCTGTAATTTTTGAGAAAACAGAAATTTTGTTGTCTTTTTTTTTAAGATGGTTGGCCGACCATTGTAAAAGAGTTCATTTTATTTCTCACATTACATTCTTTAACAGGCGGCAATTTTCTTGTTTGTAGTGTTTGCAGATGTTGTGGGAGTTTCCATTAATGAATGGATAAACCCAAAAGCAGCTTAAAATATACTGACAGAAATTCACCAAAAGCATTGTAAATGAGGACAATGGTATGATCCAAATACGGTGGCTGTTCCAAACAGAATGATGAAAGGGATTTTCGTCAACAAAAAGTACGATTTCCACAAATTAAACCTCTCGTGTTTCAAGACGTAATTTCTGCTTTGCTTACAATTATTAGTGAATCAACTATAAGAGTTTTTAGACTTTCTTTTGATAGGTAAACTGATATGAAAGTGCGGTCATTAAGCACGATCACATGGGCATGTGCATTTTCACATCGGCCTACTTGTTCGTGGACCAGTCAACTGCGTTCCTGGATGAAGTTTTTTATGAACCTGCAACGCTACATTGTCGAGGAGGCACATTACTCCAGGGTAAATTCACTGATTAGTCCTAGCCGATGAAATGGCTCCTTTTTAAAGGAATGAGAACCTGTCATGCCTGTTTCCCATCCTGACCCCGCGCATGTTGTTCACTTACTACAAATACCCTGTAATCCATAGATATCACACAAGATAAATTACAAGACCTTCGATTTAAGCGTTGTAAATGCCACGCTGTTTTTCTTGATTTTTCACAAAGTAGTTGACTCAAACATGAAACAACTCAGTGGAATGTACATTGTAAGTTGCAGTGAATATTACACACCGTAATCAGTCAATCTTGTGAAATTACAACAAAAAACAATGGTGTTCACTACCTTTAAGATAATGATGTCACAAAAGATTTGCAGCAAAATTTGGCTCGAGGTAAAATGTGTTCAACTTTTTACAAATTTGCAGCGTGAATATTTGATCTGACCCTAACAAATTTGCATTTGTGTTCACTTTTGGAAGAAGTATGAACCGGACTTTAGAAGTGAGAGTTTTGTCCAACAAAATTTGTACTCACTTTTCTCGGGGTATTGCAAACCAGTATTCAGGTAGTTTCTGGTTGTGTTTGGAAGCGGCTTCCTTGGTGTCAGAAATAGCAACAGGGAAGGTCTTGCTCATGGGCTTACCAACTCGCAAACACAGGTAAAGGGGCGGGTCTTCATAGCGCTGAGCAGGCTTAGGAAGGTATTCTGGAGGTACGGTAAATAGAGACAAGTAAAGATACAAGGTGATGAAATACGGCCCAAAGAACATAAACAGTTGATGGTACTTCCACTGGCAAATTTGACTTTAGTCATCATCAGGGACTTGTCTTGAGACACTTGTTCAGTTGTGTGCTTGACATCCAGGCACTGCAGGTTGAGTAATAAGTTAGGCTGTACCCATGTACAATGTACCAAGACAGACTGTTTAAGCAGATTCAACATATATGGTACATACATGTGCATACCAGTATTTATGCACCGGCATAGTGCAAGGACTGTACATGCTCTGTGCACACATACCCTGCCATTTCATTTCAAATAATCCACATGTGACCTTGCTAGGCCCATTCAATTTATTTTACAGTTATGGAATAATTCCGCTTCTTAAAGATTTAAAAAAAAAACAAACATGCAACCAAATCACACGTGCAGAAAGCTTGAAGACACATACATATATGCTAAACATTTGGAGGATTCACTCTGGGTTCTAAGCCAAAATGCCTATGGGGTTAGGTTAGGAGTAATGCTTGCTTAGTTGTTACTCTCTGTAACATGCAATGGCTCATTACATGTGAATGTGTAGGGGACACTTTATACTTACTGACAGAAAAAATCAAGGTCATGAAGGTGTTCAAACTTCTTTCACCAATAAAAGATGAAAACCTACATGTACAGTTCTAACAATGTGCTGCAAAGATGAACCAAACAAAAGCAAAATTGGACAGCTGTAGGCAAATGCTGTCCTTTGATGAAAGGTACAGATTTACTACAATTTACTAAAGGTTTTGGTTTTAAAAACCTAAACTCCCTATTCCTAAATTAACTTCCTCTTATCATGGGAGTGTAATAACTACATGTACATGTACATGTATGTACAAATACATGTACATGTTTCATATATACATGTAGATCTACAGTTTATGTACCAGCAGTATTCTGAGTTTCAGCCATGTCAAAACTGTTATTTCACAAGTGCATTTAAATACATTCAAATACACCAGCATGATAATGTGAATGAAATAAAAAGCAACTTTCAATCCAGAGGTCACTGTAATCTATAAGAACTTTTTGTAATTTTAGCAAGTTTCATTAGCAGCTTACCTGCAAATCCAATACAAGTTCAGTCAAATTTAAATGAACATCACTTATAATCCAGAGTACCGTGTTCCGATTTCTGTTTGCTAAATGAAGAATGTGTACATAACCTAAGGGTTTTCACCCATTCGTTAATTGGATACTCACACATCTGTAGGAGACTTGAGTATACTGGTATCATTATCAATCACCTTGTAACACGTTGTAATAATTACATGTACTTTCTGCAGTACCAAAGGTTCCTGGAATGTCTGCAATTTTCCATACATGTACATATAGATGACAAACTCAATAAGTATGGAGGAAAAGTTGCAAATAGGAACCTTGTGTGTCAATATTTGCATTTCAATATTTGTGTTTCCATGTTATTCCATGGATTATTTTGAACATTCAGCAAGATGTTCTGTTGGTAGAGTCAGAACCCAGGCCAGTGCATGATGAATTGATTTCTGAATATAACTCGGACGGTGTGAAAGCAGTTGACTGAGTACAGGTAGAAAGGCGACAAAAGTGATTATGCCCTCTATCAGACACTCTGTGACTGAACTTTGGAATTAGTTTGACCATGGAGGAAGGAGCGGACAAGGTCAAGTGGCACTAGTCTCAGTTTCCACTTCTTTCATTAAAAGGATTTCCGGTGGAAAAAAGCACACCGGGATAAATGCTGGAAATACCACACTGGGATAAATGCTGGAAATAGCACACCGGGATAAATGCTGGAAAAAGCACACCGGGATAAATGCTGGAAAAAAGCACACCGGGATAAATGCTGGAAATAGCACACCGGGATAAATGCTGGAAATAGCACACCGGGATAAATGCTGGAAAAAAGCACACCAGGATAAATGCTGGAAATAGCACACCGGGATAAACGACAATGTACAAAGATACCCTGAAGAAAAGTTAACATTGAAATCTTCTGGCTCATGAAACCTTCAGACCAATTGACCCATGTAATATTTTGACCGGTCACTCCACAATTCACTTGTCCTTTGAAATACAATAGTACATCTACTGGTATGTAAGGCTTCAAAGCTGAAGACAATGAACGAATATCACCTGCAACCACATTCAATGGCTCTACAGGTTGATTTACAGAGCTTTCCCAAAATCCTTTGGCTTTGGCAGCGGAGTTATACTTTTTTTGTAAATTGTGCAGGTAGTCACAATATGTACAAACAATGACTTGTACAAGTGTGTAGAAGTCAACCGGCATTTTTCCAGTTATGCTTATCAGCTTTCTCAGCCTGTCATGATGATAATCTTCACTTCTTCCTTGTACCGGTATATGCACATGTACACTGTACATGTTTATGTTGGACAAGATTGGTGGATACATGTACAATTGATCGCACTGTGCTACATTGTAGGCCAATCCTTCATCTGCTGATCCATGGTTGAACCTACTGCTAATTACCTTTTTAGTTCTTGTTCAAAGGCATGCAACTTGGACTTTGACAAAAACAAGGAAACTCATATCTTTACAAGACTTTGTATAATGTTTTTCAATTTTCAATGGTATGAGTGTGAAGTGAAAAACAAGGAAATCGGCTGATCCAAGGAAAACTTGAATGCCTGGCAAGATACACATACAGGTACATGTAGGGGATGTACGGTCATTGGGAGGGAGGGGAGGTTGTCCAGGATTACTCTGATAGCACCCACCCCTGACATCTAATGCCAAATCCCAAGTACATTTTGAGGTAAGTCATCATCCTGTCATTTGCCCACGTAGGACCAGTAATTACAACACAGCATAGTGCATCGTAAGCTACAACATTACTTCCTTCATGAATTCCATCTGGTGTCTGCTTGTAGACAACTTACTGGGATTCCATAAATTGGTGGCGTTACATTCCATCTGATATTTTTAGAATGTAAATGCCAGGCATAAAATTGGAAGAGCGTGTGTGTCATCTTCCTCTTCAAGTATCTATGTGAGTAAACAATGAAATTGGCCTCTTGATACAAACAGCACTAGCGTGACACACACACAGGCTTGGACGTATAGTAGCATTATTTTCAATATCAAACAATACCAACTTACGATCCCTAAATTTATATCAAATTACTGGCAAACTCTGTATGGAATTTCAACACCAGGTATTTATCAAAGTGTTTGAAATATGTACAGACACCTTTTCAATTATAAAACCATCATACCAGTATGTTTATTTTTAATTTCATTCTTTGTGGTTTGAGTCATCCAATACCTAGAGCACATTGATACGACAGAATGTCAACTTGCACTTGGTAACATGAAACCTACCGTACATGTACAATGTACGCAGCCAAACTCCTTTAATGTTTTATTATTGTCGCTGTCATTGTTAATGCACCAGGAACCAGCAGTTTATAATGTCTAAATGGAAGTCCCAAATGATGTTTTACAGGGGTGTGTTTTGTCCCGGTTATTACCCAAGAGCTTGTGTCATTTTTATCTGATAGTTTCATGTGTTGGAGCATGCTTGGAATACTACAGCATTCTTGCCCCTAAGAGGTAGCAAATTTAATCTTTGCTTTTTAGTATTCTCTGACATAAATAATATTTGAATGGGTTGATAAATGATATTACTTCTACAGTTCATGGAATTTGCCATGTTGACAACAATCTCCATATTGGTCCATGCTTGATTGTATTCCTCCTGAATGTTAGTTTATTGTTGCTGCTTTTAGTAACATAACACCCATACAATGTACATACATATATACCGGTACAGTACTTCAAATAATAATCATGTTTTTTTTAGATGAATAACACAGAATAAGAAAAAAATGCAATTAAGTCCAAGCCTAATGTTAAACATTTTTGAGGGTCCCAATACCTTTTCTTGTTCTGTTTTTTTTTAATCCTTACACCTGTATAACAGTAAGGTTTTGGTTGAGAATGAGGCAGATACCGCTACATGTACTGTACATGTTGACTTAGGTTATGTATATAATTTACCTGGTTCCAGAAACCTTGTTGTGTACACATGCATGTATGCACTGGAATCCATATGGTGCCATGGAAGTTCCATGATACAAGAATGAAGAGCTGAACCTTAATGGTGTGAACTTTTTTGTTATCTGTCAGACAATCCACCTCATCACCTGTACTGCACTGATGTACAGGCCTGCCCAGCTGTGTCCGTCAAAGGACATTTTAATAATGAGTCCATGAATGGTGCACCAAGTTTTCTATTGTGTTTTGTCAAATATCAATACTTCCATCAATGACAGAAGCTTTTCTTAATTTGTACAAAATTTGTCTTCTAAAGTGTGGAAATGAATTGTTTTGAATTTATCCATGGTTTGTAAACAATGTAAACAAACATGGTTTGTTAAATACAGTTGACAGCACGTGAAAATAGTAAAACTGTGCCAAATTGTGCAGCCAAATTACATTTTCAGCCTTTATGGTACATGTATACATATTTGGTCCATGTTCAAATTTGTCCAACTGAAATAGTGATACATTGCAAAGACAGCTTTTTAACGTGTTCAATACTGTGCATTATGTACATGTCCATTCACTAAAATCAATATTTCTCTCTTGTGAGTAAGGCTCATTAATCTTCGTTTCCGTAGACTTCATGGAGTGGATTTCATTTAGCACATTCTTATCACACACAAGTACTACATATACGTTGTTGATATTGTAGATTTGCAATTCAGTAAGCAATGAAAGTTCAGAACAGCATTACATGAAGTTGCATGTGCATGATACCAGTACATGTATCTGCCCACAGTAAATAAAAACCTCAGACTGATTGTTAAATACACATATTGATTTTTCAAACAAGAATATTCCTCCAGGTGTGCACTCAATTACCAAACTGAATTTGGTCCTTTGATTGTTTAAAGACTGCAGACCTCTTCTGTGTTGCCTACAATATGCATCGTATTAAAAATGGGGAAAAAAGTGGTGGCCTATTTTTCTCCTTGTTTGCTGCTTGGTTACTCATGGTGTAGTCGGCAGTGACCCACTGTTATTTTGCAATTAGCACTTTTATGCCACTGATATTAAACTACTGCTTGCTGGAAAAATTTCTAACTTCTCTCAGATATACAGTAGTTCCTTGTGAAATTTGGATGTTACATGTAATTGGCAAATGATTGCATTTGAAGTATCAAATATCTCGTTAGTACATGTAGATGGAACTTTACACTCTTTAAACTCTGAAAGTTTTGATCCTTATATTTTGGTATCTATGACATCAGTTTTATTAACCCTAACCCTCCCAAATCCTTCTCGGTAAAGTGGAGGAATTTGGAGGATTCAGGGTGTATGGCAAAAGTGCAAGGCTGATTTAGAAGGATGCCATACGTGAAGGTCGTGGATTGGACCTTATGTTGTTTATGCTTAGTCAAGCACAAATTCAGCCCGATATTTCTTTTGAATCAACCGCACAGCTCAAGAATGCCATTTCCACTGCCTCAAAATAATGACAGGAATTGCTGGAGGATTTCAAAGAATTTAGGCAGTTAGGCACACCTCCAAATGACCATATATTATATTTTTGATTTCTCCAGTTATTCTAGGTTTCCAATAAAATCTTCATGTAAATTGTAACTTTACCCTTTCTTATAATAGCAGGAGAGGATTTTTACCCCACAGCATAGCCCACAGTGACGTATTAAATTTTGTCTGTGCTAGTTTGTCCAGATTCCATAGGAACAGATCACATATCATAAATATACCCTAAGCATTTTTGATGGAAAACCTTGTATCCAACATCCTCATGAACACTTGAACATTTGCATGCAATTAGAACTTCAGCAGCCTCTTCATAGCCACTGAATAGACTCTCCAAAGGTGAGAGAACATTTCATGTCACACTGCACAGCAGTGGTGTCTAGTATTTGAACTGGAATGTAACAAATCCTTCAAAACCCTTCATCTTCCAAAATCCCTCAAGAGATGTTTCATTTCACTGCTTGGTGCTACACATACAATTTAATGTACTTCAGTGAAAGTTTGATGAACCATGTCCATAATAGTGTAGTCAAAAATGGTGCATTTTACAGTGTGAATATAGGGAACAAATTGAAATAACTCCACTCCATGTACATTGTACACGTAAATGTACATGAAATGCAATTCAAAGTAAAACATGTAAAATTAAACTTCTAAATTAGTCATTGCAGAGAAGTGTACACACACAAGCAATCACACAAACAGCCGCTTTGTACAGTGAACACATAACATTACAGAAACAAATCCACTCCGATTAGCATCTCTAATAAGAAATCAAAGGTGTCCAAAGGAAATTTACCTCACAGTAATCAATACTCACATCCTACTTGTCTCTCAAGAAACGCCAATGCGATATGCTTGACACAAACATACACAGCCATACAACTACTGACTACGTGTACACATCATTGATCTCCTCAAGGAGAACTGACGATGAACCTGCACTGTGAAAACTCAATACACCCATTCTCTCACTCACCTCTGCACACCAACAGTACGCCTACACTTGTCAATGAATTCCATGCACATCCATGCATGCAAGTTACACATAGCTCTAATGTAAGCGTACCAAGTAATGCTGGTACATGTACCTCTCTTACAAGTCCATCAATTAGAGAAACTGGACTCTGAGTGGCTGCAGTAAGATCACAGGCTTGTACAGGAAAAGGTAAATGCCATACATCCTCCCAGTGATGGTGAACCAAATCTGTAGTTGATGACGTGCAGGGACACACAGTCAAATCTGGATATACCCCGGTACATGCAATGTATACCAAAGTATATATACTGCAGATACTATCGGTAGCGGTCCATCTATCACACCTGCTCAGCATCTGCACACACAACTACATGTGCATGTACCGTAAGTCTGATTCTATTGCCATCCTGGACAAGTTGCATATTCATATCCTGGTACAAGTTGCATATTCATGTCCTGTTACTGGTGTACAAACAGTGATTGATGACAATTCCAAGTACTACTACATGTATATACATGTACCAGTAATACACTAATACCATTCAAGTACACACATGTACATGTAGGCGGTCTGATCAGTGGACAAGACTGTTACGATCCCAGTTGATCCAAATCCTTTTGTGTCTCCTTGAAAAGGTACGTGTGAATTTACGTACGTTCCAAAAACCTATAAAAGACTCC